CTATCTTCCATTTTTTATACATTACCTTCACCTTTCTTTTTTCTCTACTGCACTGTTTGTCCCACCAAAATTTATGTCCTGGTTTTCTTCTTTTCCTTCGGACTACTCTTTTATCCATACTTTGCAAAACCGCTGCCTTTAATTCTTGCCAACCTGGCTTTCCATTTCCTTCAGCAAGCTGTATGTTCCTGATTTTACTTTTATATTGCTCTATGCTTTCCTTTCCCCAGCAGAACACTTGTCGGACAGTTTCAGTCTCTTCCTCCCTTCCAACTATATCCGCTCTCGCCTGTAGTCTCGCTGTAGCAACCAAAGGTTGGTGATCAGATTCTATTCTGTCCTCCACCTTAAAGTGTACTATTTCCTCTAGCCCCTTTTCATTACAGATCACATAATCTATTACCGTTGCTCCTCTGACACCTACATACGTCCATTCTCCTTCCTCATCTCCTGCAATATTGCCATTCGCTATGTGCCATCCTCTTTCCTCAACCATTTTTTAGCCGTTGCTCTCCCGCATTATTTTTCGTTAGATCTTTCGAATTCCTCCTGTTGTCCGTTCTCCTCACTGTCTCGCTCACTCACTCTACCTTACCCTCTCTTCCTATTCTTGCATTCATATCTTCTTCCTCTTCTTTAATCACTTCTTCCATCTTCCTTGCCAATTTCTTCCACTGTTGACCATTGTAAACCGAAAAAATCCTCCATGTTCTATCTTCAATTTTCATCCTCCTTTCTATTAAACCCTCTATTTCGCTATTTCCACATTCTATGTCTAAGTTTTTTCTCACCGCTGTTATTATTCCCCCTCTCGCTCTACCTTTCCTATTTACCTTCTTTGCCCCTCGACACTTCCATACAAAATCCTTTGATAGGCTACTTTTAAACTTGTTCCAATGTGTTTCCTCCATCCACGTTTCTACCATGCCTATACAATCAAACTTTTCCACATATTGCCAAAACTTTGATCTTTCTTTCCTATTCTAGCTACATTCCAGAATAATACTTTCAATTCCCCTGCCTTCTCCCTGTTTAACACCCCCTCCCCTCTCCTATTTATTTGCCCACCTGGCTGAAAATTTATTAAAAAACCTGACTAACTGGTACTGTTGCCCAACTTTCCTGCCATTGGGCAAGGGCCCATCTCCCATCCACCCTTATTTTTTGGTATCCTACCTTCACCTCCCTCTCTTTTCTTTTTTCTTCCCTGGCGATTGCTACTAGCTTGTTTTGAATTTCTCTCTCATGTCTCGTTAAATCGTGATCTATGAAGACCTTTGTGCCTCCTAACCTATCTTTGTATCTCATGATCTCCTGCTTGTCCTCCCAACTTTCCAATCCCACTATTAATACACACCTTTCCTTCCTACCGATTTCTTTCACCCAACTTATCTTCCTTCTTACTTTTAATTCTTTCTCTAGAAAATCTTCAATTTGCGTTTTTACATTTCCTTGCCGTATCTCTAGACCCTTTATTACTACATTATTTCTCCGTTCCATTTTTTCATGTTTTTCGATCCACCCTCTTATCTTTACCACTTCCCCACCCATCTCTTTTTCAACCTTATTAACCACTACTGCCTTAATATTTTCCTCCAATTCCCTTCTTTCCTGTTCTGAGTTCAAGTAGCTGTTTCCCTTTCCCACTTATCCGCTCTACTTTGCTTTCCACATCCATCATTCTTTTCTCCATTCCTTTTACTTTTAACTCCCATCCTATTTCTTTTTCCCTCATTTCTTCCGTTATCCTATTATTATTTGTACGCATTTCGTCTTTTAGACCTCTTATTTCTTCAACCAATCCTGCTAATACTTTCAATATTTCTTCATTGCATGCATTTCCCGCCGTGGCCTACCTCCTGTCCTCCACTATCTCTTTCCTACCTCTCGTTATATATTCCTCCATTCTCTCCTTCTCGTTCTCGTGTTTCGCTGTTTTTTCGGCGTTTGTTGGGCGCCCTCTTCTTGTGCTTCTCGTCTCCACCGCACTTTTCTCTAACCCTCCTGCTTTACCTACTGTTTCCTCTTCGTCTGAGCTCTCTTGTCCTGCTCTACGGCCGTCGTTACCCATAACCTCTACCTATCAGACAATCGTCTGACCCGCAGAATTACACCCCTAACACCCCTATTTCTTTACATTAGACCTCGCCTTTACGTACCCTTCCTCTCCCCCTTATACTCTACCTAATTCTTTTACTCCATGTGTATACCTATCGCTTTCTTATTACTTAAATTGCTTTTAACACTCATAGCACTCGCCACCCATACACACCACACCACTCCTCCTAACCAAGTCCTCCCTATAAAGTAATATTTTCATCTTTTAATGTTTCGATAAAATATTATTATAAAATCTATTCATAATTATACTGTTCCCTTTTGTCCGCAACCGGAAGTTTGTTAATATCCTTCAAGAGGTTAAAGAAATTTTAAAGTTTAAGTGTATTCAATTAGAAGTTCTTATTACTCATAAAGTTTAAATTAGGTAAATCTTATTTCCGGAACAAACTTTAATACAAAATTGCTTTTACACGTTTTATCTCTAATCTATGGTAATTGTATTTAAGTGATACTAACTCTGAGAAGAAGCAGGACAATTATGCACGTGATCCCCAGCGCAGTGTCCCAAAGTTTTGTTTCCCCAATTTTTTCGAATATCCTTTGCCACACTTCTAAGAACTTGCTACCGCTGATACTGATGCCTAGAATGTCCTTTATTTGGCTCGTGGCAATAATAATCGCTGCTGCGGATGTGAAACCAATCAAAACTGGTCCTGATATGAAGTCCAACAAAAAACCTGACGAACCAGAAAAGGTAAAAACATATTAAATGTATAAATATTTGAATGATTTTTAGATGTTATGTAAAATAATATTGTGAACATTGCACGTCAATGTCACGTAAGTTATTAAGCTTTGCACAGAACGTTAAAAAAATGAATCCAAAAAATGTAGGAGATAAGGGAAGAATTGTTTGTTTCCGTTCCAAAAAGCAGCTCCTTTATAATTTTTTATTGAAAAAAAGTATGTAAGATTTTTATTTGAAATTTTATACACGGTCTTATTATTATTTTATTACTATTACTATTAAATATTAAAAACTAATGTTACAGCCCGGCGATCCTAACGGTGTGGAATAAATATTAATCGCTGGTTGACATGATTTTTGCCGTTTAAATAAACTAAAATAAAAAATTCAACCGGCGTTTTATTCTATATACATACCGTTATCGTATAACAGGAAAGGATATCGAAAGTATCTTCTTTTTTTAGAAATGGCAGGTGGTCTAATTTAAAGAATCAAATTGTCAGAAAAAATGTCTCGAATTTCGAACAATAAAAAACAAAATATGTAATATATCAGTACGCCTGTACGTTAGACGATAGAGGGATCATTTTTGAATATAAAATTCAAATTAGACGTCAATCGGTTTAATAGTTTTTCTGAAATCGTGTCAACCAGCTTCGAAAATACGGTTTCGAGAAAAACGCGTTAAAATTTCGTGTACATTCCTCGAAAGAAGGAACTACCAAATCTCTTAAAAACAGACCTACATACTCTAAATTCTAAAAGAGCTTCAGTAATTTCATGAATTTTTAATTGAAATTTTGCACAATTGTTCTCGAAGGGTTGCATGATAAAATACTGTCAACAACAAAAAATTGATTCTTCTAGCCCAGAAAAAAGTAATTTCCCCTTTAAGGAGTGAGGGATACTTCGAAAATTCAAATAATGGCTTTCTTGGGTTTTAATATTTTCATAAGTTACATCATTTCAAGAATATTCCTAAAAAATTTCAATTTGATCCGACTAAAAATGACGAAATTCGAATTTTAAGGTACTTGTTTTCTGAATTTATTTAATGGAGGATTTTAACAAAACTTTACTTGATTGTTCTTTGATGAAATACGAATCATATGAGCCTATTTCGATTTAAATTAACCATCTCAATTTTATGGAAAACGATAACAAAATTATATAATTTTAACACAGACCCTTATGGAAGGTACAGATTTAGATTTTCGCATGAATTTTTTCAATTTTAATTAAGATGCAATTGAGAAACTCGCTGAAAACTTGATATGCTCTAACCGAAATTATAAAATATTTAATAAAAAAAAGTAGCAATTATTTACCACGCCGTTACTGAAATTCATTAAAATCTGAAACTGAATGTATTAGGTTGTCTCAAAAATTTCTTTTGTAATTTGCACTCAATTATTTTGTGTGGCAGTGTTTATATAAATAGATAATTTAATTTCTTAAATGTTCATGTTGTAACAGTAATGGAACAAAATGAATCGTACACAATTCAATAATGTAACATTAGACATAAAATATTGTGTATGTATTACTTATTAAAAAAACAAAAAAAAAGGAGTTTCATAAAAAAATAGGAATTTTGCAATAACAATAGTTATAAACAACAAGAAAAATCATTTTTGAAGAAAACGAGTCCGGCAGCAAAATGTAAAGGGTTTCATCGATTTCGTCGAATTCAGGCCGAACCTACGCGAAATATGTAGTACAATTTTACGATAAAAAGTGCAATAAAGTGGTAAAAAATGGAAGTAGGTAAAATGTCTTTTTAAGCTTTTAAGAGGCAACGAAGCCCTACCAGATGCAAGAAGATTCAATCCGATTGGTCAATTCGTTTCAAAATAAGAAGCAATACAAAATTTTTCAGTTTTTTGCCAAAAAAAACGGGTAAAAAGTGAAAAATTCCAAAATTTTTTGATAACTGCATCACCCCCAAGACATGATCTACAAGATGCAACAGCTTTTATCCCGATTGGTCAAGCTGTCTGGACATAATCGAGTAACATATATATATATACAGGGTGTCAGGTACATTGGTCAGGGTTTTCGTGTAATATCTCCTTAACGAAGCCCCATCGGACATTTTTGCAAAGGAAATTGTTGTTCAGAATCGTCTCAGCTACCCCCCATTTCCGGCTCCTCCCCGACTTTTAGGACACCCTGTATATATATAAAAACATACATGTCGAATTGAGTAACCTCCTCCTTTTCGAAGTCGGTTAATAAAACGAAAGAAACTTTTGGGACAACCTAATAGAGAAATTGGGCAATAAGTCAGCGTTGTTGTCATGATCATTTCTCGAGTATTGCGAATATAATGTATTGTGTATTATGGACATGTGTGAGAGTAGAAAGCCTGTAGGGCTTCTATAAAAGTTTTCGATTGACAATTTTCGACTAACCACTTCGACTATCTTGTATTTTAATTCCAGTAAGCTATAATTTTAAACATGACTATCTCGGTACAACTTCAAACGCATTTTTCTCGAAACTACATTTTTCAAATCGATGAACAATATTTTTCAGAAATGTTTGAATTGAATCACTTCAACTTGTATAGGTTCATTTAAGTCAGCATAATCTTATACTTAATCGTGTCGTACTTTTGTTTTTATGGTACAGGGCTAGGGTGGAGCAGCTGATCTGTTTCAGAGTGATAATACCCATACTATCATCGATACAAAAATACCTTCCAGAAAAAAATTAAAGAGTTCGAGGGAATTAATCTAATATGACTATTGTTTTTTTTTTGTTGTTACAAATATTATGACTGTGCCAAACTCAACGTCATTTTTTTAAAGTGAAATCATCGTATTATTTTGGGATATTATGAATGTTGGAGACGAGTTCATTGACCTATAATAGAAGATCATCTACTGTAATACAAAACTTGAAAATGGAGTTTGAAATCAGTAGATGAACACAACCCGTCAGTTCGTTGAACAAAGATAGAAGAAGAAATAAGTATTAAAATTTGTCTGTCATTTGAAATGTTTAATTTAAAGTTCATTAGTGATGTTATTACCTAATTGTATGATTCCCATCAGCAAACACACACAACCAGATATGAAGGTTAAGAGGACTGCAAAGTTGGGTCCTAAGTCAGATTTTTGTAATGTTTCCCTAGTTAAGATTGCGATGATCGCTGTTGGTCCAACTGGCACATCTTTGCAGGATCCTAGGATGGTGTACACGAAGCTTGCCATAAAAGAAGAATATAAACCGTACTGCAAAGTAAAATACATATTCGTATACTCCTCTGGTTTCAATTCTAAACATTTTAGTAACAATTGTATATAAATATAATACAAATTCAATTATAAATATAAATTCAATATAAACGCAATATAAATTCTTTTCAAATTAAAATATAAAAGTATGATTATCGTTTTTTTGCTGCAATTTTTAAAAATAAGTTCTGAATAATACAGACTGTTTGATTTCGTCTTCTCAAGTACAACTTCGTTTAGCTTTTAAAATTTGATAAGAACATGACAATACATAATCAAATCAAAAGTTGAAAAGGATAGTTTCTCCTTTATAGGTTTATAACATAAATTCTTTGAACGTAAAATAAAATAATTTATTAATTTCAATATTTCGATTATACGAATGTGTTTGATTTTATTTGAAAATATGTGTTTTGATATAAGTATTTTGGTATCAAAAAAGCAATCAGATGCGCATGACAAACAAGGTCATTTTTTAGTACTTTCGTTTTTTTACAACTGTAATTAAACTAATCAAATTTTCAACTTCAAGCTTCACTAAGTTGTATTTTAAACATCGATAAATAAATTAAAAAAAGAAAAATGACGATTGGATACAATAGTTTTTCGGGGGCAGTTGGTTATCCCTTTGTTACAGGCATTAAATCTTCAAACTCTCTGAGAAGTAATTTTAACTTCTAAGTAGAAGTTTAGTAAGTATTATCGATGATAGAAGACAGTTAGTTTATCTTATTAAATACAATTAACCCTAGTACTCTCTGTAAGTGGGTACTGTAAAAGACAATCAGCATTAAGATTCTTGAGACTTTTACGATGTCCATTTACAGAGATCA